TCTAAACTTAATTATTTCTCTTCTGATGCATGGCTTAGGCTTTATTTGTTGTTCTTTCTCCAGTTCTTTAAATGGGAAAGTTAATTTGGGTGTTTGGGATTTTTTGTTTTTTTGAGTGAGGCTTTGATGGCTATGTTTTTCCCCCTTGGGACTGCCTTTGCAATATCCCATAGGTTTTGGACCGATGTGTTTTCATTCTCATTGGTTTCAATGAATTGTTTAAGTTCTTCTTTGATTTCCTGCTTGACCCAAACATTCTTAAGCAGGATGGCCTTTAGCTTCCAAGTGTTTGAATTTCTTCCAATTTTTTTCTTGTGTTTGAGTTCCAGTTTCAAGGCATTATGCTCTGAGAATATGCAGGGAATAATCTCAGTCTTTTGGTATCGGTTGAGACCTGATTTGTGACCCAGTATGTGATCTTTTCTGGAGAAAGTTCCATGTGTGTTCGAGAAGAATGAGTATTCTGTTGTTTTGGGGTGGAATGTTCTGTATATATCTATGAGATCCATCTGGTCCAGTGTGTCATTCAAAGCTCTTGTGTCTTTGTTGATTTTCTGCTTAGATGACCTGTCTATTGCCAAGAGTGGAGTGTTGAAGTCTCCTGCTACTAGCGTATTATTATCAATATGTCTCTTTATTTTGGTTAACAGTTGGCATATGTAGTTGGCTGCTCCTATGTTGGGGGCATAGATGTTTACAATTGTTAGATCCTCTTGTTGGATAGACTCTTTTAGCATGATATAGTGTCCTTCTGTATTGCTACCCCAGCTTTCTTTTGAGGTCTGTTGGCATGAAAAATGGTTTTTCATCCCTTCACTTTCAGTCTGGATGTATCTTTAGGTTCAAAACAAGTCTCTTGTATACAGCATATGGATGGGTCCTGTCTTTTTATCCAGTCTGCAACCCTGTGCCATTTCATGGGAGCATTTAGGCCATTCATGTTAAGAGTGATTATTGAAAGAAGTGATTTTATTGTCATCATGTTGCCTGTGAAGTCCTTGTTTCTATAGATTGTCTCTGTAAATTTCTGATCTATATCACTCTTAGGGTCTTTCTCCTTTTATAGAACCCCCCCTTAATATTTTTGCAGGGCCATCTCCTTTTATAGAAGCCCCCCTTAATATTTCTTGCAGGGCCATTCTTTTAATTTCTGTTGGTCTTGGAAGCTCCTTGTCTCTCCATCCACTCTGAATGATAGCCTTGCTGGATAAAGTGTTCTTGGCTGCACGTTCTTCTCATTTAGTACCCTGAATATGTCTTGCCAGCCCTTTCTGGCTTGCCAAGTCTCTGTGGACAGGTCTGACGTTATTCTGATGTTCCTCCCTCTGTACGTAAGAAATCTCTTCCTCCTCGCCGTTTTCAAGATTGTTTCCTTGGATCTAAGATTTGCAGATTGTACTATTATATGTCGTGGCGTCAGTCTATTTTCATTGATCTTGGGAGGGGTCTTCTCTGTCTCCTGGACACAAATGCTTTTTTCCTTCCCCAGATTAAGGAAATTCTCAGCTACGATTTGCTCAAATATATCTTCTAGACCTCTCTCTCTCTCTCCACCCACTCAGAGATCCCAATAATTCTGATATTAATGTTTCATTGAGTCACTCATCTCTCTCAGTTTGATTCCTTGGGTTTTAATTTGTTTTTCCCATGCCGCCTCAATTTCCTTCTTTTCTATCGTTTTATCCTCCATCTCACTAATTCGTTCTTCTGCCTTGTTTACCCTGGCAGTAAGAGTATCCAGTTTGGACTGCATTTCATTCATAGCATTTTTAAGTTCAGCCTGATTCGATCTCATTTTCATTGTTCTTAATATTTTTCTCAAGCCTAGATATCACCTTGGTAACTGTTACTCTGAAGTCAATTTCTAACATCTTGGTTATATCCATATCCATTAGTTCTGTGGCAGAGGCCACAATCTCTGAGTCTTTCCTTTGTTGTGGGTTCTTCCTCTTAGTCATTCTGTTGAGGGGTGGTTGGGGGAATGTATAGAGTCCAACTTATTGACCACAACCCAAGCAAGATGCACCTGTTTTATAGGGACCTTAGGGTTATCGGCCTCTTGTTCTTCCAGGCTATCTTCCAGGGGAAGGGCCTGCCATGCTGTTACTCAGGCAACCCTGTTTGGGCAGAGTTGCCCTGCCTCCTGTGAGGGGGGGATGGGCTCAGTGAAAACTGGTTTTTGGAGGCTTTTGTTCTCTGGTGGCTTTCCCTGGTGGCTTTCAGTGTCTCTTCCAAGAGTCAGATCAGAAGTGACTGTATCCAGACCTCTGTCTCAGAACAGAGAGATTGCAGTCTGCTCTTCAATTAGCTCTCCAGGCCACACCATCTCCATTTCTGTCTGTGCTGCTAAAAACCGCAGTGTCAACAAAAAAAAAAACAAAACAAACAAACAAAAAAACCGCAGTGTCCTGGGTTGTGCGCCCCATAGCAGCACTCTCAGCCCTAGCTTCCAGGTCTAGGCACGTCTCTGCCCTTTGTGCTTCTAAAACCGCCAGCCACCCCCAGTTTTGCACCCGTGCCCCCCCAGCTCCAGGCTTCAGTTTGGGGGGGCTTCCCTAAATTCCTTTCCCCTCCACTACCAGTCTGTGAGTCTGTTCCCGGTCCCCAGTGCGGGAGGCTTTTGTGCTCCAGCGGTGCAGGATCCTGGAGGCTCCCTCCCCCTTCTGTTTATCTTTTGATATCTGCCCGCAGAGTCACAGCTCCCCACTTCATACCTAGAGACCAACCACCAGAGATATTCTGTTCGTAGAGATCCAGATACATCTTCTTACATCTCAGGCTGATATCGTGGGTGTTCAGAATGGTCTGGTAGATATCCAGCTCAATTCAGGCGACTGGTTGAAATAGGATCTCCTACTCCTCTACCATCTTTTCTCCTCCAAGGAGGTTTATATTTTTAGTCAAATATGTTAGTTTTCTGTTAGGATATTTGAGTTATGAGTCATGTTTAGAGAAGCCCTTCCCCATTTCAGGATTTAAAATTTTCTCCTGGTGTTTTTTAATGTTTTTTTTTTATCATGTCTGAATTTTTATCTGTCTGAATCTAAAATTTATCTTGGGAGAAAGAATGTAGAAACAGTGTACCCTTTAAAAATTTTTTTGATAGATGGCTTTTGCGTACTTTGTATGCTCCTTGTATAAAAATATCTAAAATATTTATATTCAGACCTGTTGATATCATAATTAATGGTTTCTGCTTTTGGTGTCATGCTTAGGCTTTCTCCACCCTCCAAATTATACAAATACCCACCTTTATTTTATTTTTGCTACTTTTGATATTTATTTTTTATATTTAAATCTTTAATGAACCTAAAAAGTATTTTGGTGGGTTTTTTTTTTTAATTTTATTTTCTAAAAAGTATTTTGACATATGGTGAGTTGTACCAAACTTATTTTCTATCCTTTTAACTAGCCTGTTTTTCTACTGCCATTTATTGAATCATTTCCTCACAAATTTCAAATGCTATCTTTAATATTTTTAAATTTTTATGTATGGAATTATTCCTTCACTTTTGTTTCATTGATTGCTCAGGTCCTTGTACTAATACCATACTGCCAATTATTTGAAAAATAAAAATAGCAAGCAAAATAAAAATAAAACAAGGAAGGCTTTCTTTAAAAGACATGAAGGCGTATTATAAATTTAAAATATTTTTTGGCTGTTCTCCTAAGAGCACTTTAAACTCAAATGATAAAGTCATTTTTAAAATATATAAATTAATTTGGGGAGAATTAACATCTTTACTTTTAATAGTCTCATTCAGGAACATGGTATATTTTTGTATTTGTGTATGTTTTATGTTTCTCAGTTGATTTTTATAATTTTCTTTGTAAGGGTTAATAGTATATGCAGTGTGTATCATTATTGTAATATGTAATTATGTACTTTATTTTTTTTAAAGATTTTATTTATTTATCTGACAGAGAGAGGGGGAGCTGCAGGCAGAGGGAGGAGCAGACTCCTCATTGAGCAGGGAGCCCGATGTGGGAATCGATCCCAGGACCCCAAGATCATGACCTGAGCTGAAGGCAGACGTTTAACCGACTGAGCCACCTAGGCACTCTGTGATTGTATACTTTAAAAAAGAATAGTTGTTGGGGTGCCTGGGTGGTTCAGTCAGTTAAGCATCCGACTCTTGATTTCAGCTCAGGTCATGATCTCAGGGGGTTGTGAGATTGAGCCCAGAGTTGAGCTCCATGCCTGCTTAAAATTCTCTCTCTCCTTCTCCATCTGCCCATCCCTCCATGCCTGCTTTTGTTGTATCTCTGTGAGAAGATGGGTGTTAGCTGAATCTACTGTAATGATTTTACAATATATGTAAATCCAACTATCATGCTGAATACCTTAAACTTATACAGTAATATATATCAATTCTCAATGAGACTGGAAAAATTTTTAATAATGAAAAAATTTAATTTTTCAAAATAAAAAAGACTAGAAAGATACAAAGTAAGATATTGAATGGTTATCTCTCCTCAAATGATAGTTGATTTGGGGTTTTATTTTCTTGGTACCTCCTGTTTTTTCAAAAGTTTAATATTTAAGCATGTATAACTTCCTTATATTTAGAAAGTCACAATTCCAGAACACTAATGTGAAATGTTTTAAGTATAGTGATATACGAAATACATATTAATACTTATAATGAGAAAAATAAATTTATGTTCATAAATGCCATATGAAAATAAAAATCACTTAAAGCTTTTTATCTGAATGAAAACAAATATAACCTCATTGTTCATAATAATTTTAAATGTTGGCTTGTATAACTAAAGGTGATGTCAAAAGCTGAGAAAATTTATGATTTCTACCAGTTTTTCTCTTAAGAGTGGAATTTTTAAGTCAATATTCAGTATTTCAAATAATATAGTTGTCAGTTGGCCATAAGCTAGTGGTTTAATTAACGTCCAATACATTCTAAATAATCTGGTAAGCCTCATAGCTTAATATGGAATACAGAAATATTCACTTGTACTTTTTAACCATAATCTCTTCACAGTGTAGATTTTCAGAAAAGGTGACTATTAAAGAAGAAAAAGAAAATATTTTGGAAGTTTGCAAAAGGTCTGTACCATTTTTAATTATGTAATTTTAAAATAGTCATATAATTTGTGTTTTGAGTGTGTTTTTCATTCTCTGCTCTATGGACTTGGGCTACTATGCCTTAAGCCATACATGGATATTATTAATTGGTGTATCAGATATACCCAGATGTCAGGGATACTTTCAGGTACCTTAAAGCTGTGATAAAGATTTTTGAGCCATTAAAATATTTTTCTGAGGAAGAAGTAAGGAATAGTGGGGCGCCTGGGTTGGCTCAGTCGTTAAGCGTCTGCCTTCGGCTCAGGTCATGATCCCAGGGTCCTGGGATCAAGCCCCACATCCGGCTCCCTGCTCCGCGGGAAGCCTGCTTCTCCCTCTCCCACTCCCCCTGCTTGTGTTCCCTGTCTCACTGTGTCTCTCTCTGTCAAATAAATAAAATCTTTAAAAAAAAAAAAGAAGTAAGGAATAGTGATAAAAGAAAAAAGAATGTGTACATGACTTTTATGAAGGTAAAATGACAGAAATCTGATGAATATTGCAGTTTGCAGGTATCTGATGTGGTTGTGATAATTAGTACTAAGAGTTACAGTACACTCACTATAACATATGCAAATAACAAACTTAGAGTTGGGAGACACATTGGTGATCACCTGATCCATCCTGCACCTCCATTTTGCTGTTGAGGCAAGGTATACTCAGATCAGGTGACAAATGTGTTCAAGTCCTTTTATATTAAGGCAGTAGTTTTCAAAGTGTGATTCTTGTAGCAGCAGCATCAAGTGGGAACATGTCAGAAATACAAATTATTTGGTCCTGTCCCTGACCTGCTGAATCAAAAACTCTGGAGATGGGGCCCATCAGTCTGTGTTTCAGCAAGGCCACCATCTGATCCTAATACTTACTCAACTTTGAGAACCATTGTATGAAGGAAGAGCCTAGGTGAGAATTAGATTGGCACAGAAACCCAGTTTGATCCATGACCATTTGAAATTTTAAAAGGGAAAAAATGACAAAAGTTAACTTTTTTCTATTGAAAGCATTTTGCTTACAAACCAAATAGTGTCATTGCAGCCTGAAGAGTTTTATCATCAGTTTGGCTCTACCATAATGACCAGGAGTGTGACATTGGACAAGTCACTACATTACCCCAAACTTCAGTCATCCAATCAAAAACAAAAGAATTTTACTAGATAATCTCTTCCATCTGTAAAATTCCATAATTCTTATTTGTTTGTTCTACATTATTGCTCTTGTTTTGTTTTGAGAAAGGTTATGTTGATTGCACATATTAATGATGTCCCAAGTTGGAAAGAGAAGTGAATATCTTTATTTTCTGTGTAATTTTTTTAAAGATTTTATTTATTTGAGAGAGAGAGAGAAAGAGTGAGTGCATGCGTGCGCATGAGTAGGGGGAGTGGCAGAGGGAGAAGCAGACTCCCCACTGAGCAGGGAAGCCTGATGCAGGGCTTGATCCCAGGGTGGGATCAAGACCTGAGCCAAAGGCAGACACTTCACTGTTTAACCGACTGGACACCCAGGTGTCCCCTGTGTAATTTTTAAGCTCTGTCAATGCTACTAAGTTTGAACTGTTACAAGTATGGGACCCTCTTCTTTCTTACTAGTTTTATTCTCCTCTGGCCCAGGAAACCCCAGCTGAAAAAGCTTATTAGAATTGTTTTTTAAGGTAAAATATTATAGTATCTGAGTGATTTTCCTTCTAAAAACTAAATTCATTTATATCAGTCAGCTTTGAGATACTTCCCATTCTACCCCTTGCTTATTTTTTTTTTCTAGGTAAGTGAGATTCCAGAAAACTCTTAAGTTTTTCTAAAATTGGTTATATAGGATCTCACATATTAAAATATAGTTGAAGCTGTTTAAATCTAAGCAACCAAGAACAGTACATTTTTTATACCTTCTTCCCAAAGGAAGTTCTTAAGTACATGTATAAATTTATTAAATGTACTTGTCCTGAAGAATAATTTATAATTCATTCATTTTACTGTACTATCAATAGAATAACTGGGTGATCTTTTCTGGATTAGAATGGTAGCTCAGTTCCTCCTCAGAATTTTTGTCTGGCATGATCAAAAATAGTCTGCTCTAGTTTTAATCCAACCACCTTACTCCTGCCCCTACACCGGCCATTTAACGAGCATTGGTTTTCTATTTAAGAAGGCAAGAACACTTATTGAAAATACTGAAGAATCATAGTATGGTAATAGTACACAACATGGTCTATAGCGTATACATAGTGTGTTAGGTTGTGTTTCCACTTACTTGATTCTCATCACTTTAATGTTCTTCGAATAAATTTAAATTCTGCTTTTGGCTTTTCTGCTCACACAGTGAAGGTTCTAAAAATGCGGAGATTATGGTTGGTGAGAGTCAGTTGGCAGTACTGGCCCCAAAACCTCTGTGCTTATCAGTGCCACCTTTGAATCTAAGTGGTCATCAAGAAGACATATTACTGAAGCCCTGGATGAATGGTACTGTTTTCTTAATAAAATTCTGTTGCCTTTTGAAAATACAGAAACTGTATAGGAGATTTTTTTCACCAAAAACAAAAAAGGTTAGAAAAATCAAGACAAGCCTAGAATGTGTTAAAATTGGAAAGTTTGTATACCTTTACTTAGAACTTTTGATGGAATAATTTCTTAAATATCTGTATTTATGTGATAGTGGTAGTATAGATAAATTATAGGTTATACCTAAAATATTCATACTTTAGTCGAATATCTTAGAATTTTATAATGTATTTTAGAATTTGTGTCAGTTTTTTTGATAATCCATAATGGCTTGAACAAAATAAGCTAGACTGAAGAATGAATTTAGGAACAATAAAATTTCTTTGTGTAGCCCACACCTAATTTCTTCTGTACTTTCCTGTTACTGACTTTGTGCTGCCCGGTGTTGTGTACTACAGCAGCATGCCCAGATGATTGTGTGTTTTATCTTCAAAAGCCTTAACAGTTTTTATAATGAAAATTACAGCAAAGCTATGCAGCAGAAACTTAAGCTTGTTCCAAATTCATCTGAATGCTGCCAAGTGAAAAATGAAATTATTTAAAATATTTTTATTTTTTTATCTTTAGAGAAAAACATTTCGAAATGTTCTAATTCTCATTTTAAAATTTAGACCAACATTAAGGGATAGAATGCCTGGTGTATTAGTAGCTCAGGCAGCCATAACAAAATACCACAGACTGGGTGGCCTAAACAACAGAAAGTTATTTTACACAATTATGGAGGCTAGAAGTCTAAGATCAGGGTTCTGGCAGGATTCAGTTTCTGGTTCTCTTCCTGCCTTACAGATGGCTCCGTTCTTGCTAAGTCCTCACATGGCCTTTCCTTGATGCATGTGCATGGAAAGAGAGAGCAACTCTCTGATGTCTCTTCTTATAAAGACACTAGTTCCGTCAAATCAGTGTCTCACCCCTATGACCCCATTTAACCTTAATTAGTTCTGTAAAAGGACCTATTTTCAAGATTTTATTTATTTATTTATTTATTTGACAGAGTGAGAGAGTGTGCACACACAAGCAGACAGAGCAGCAGGGAGAGGGAGAAGCAGGCTCCCCGCTGAGCAGGGAACCTGATGCGGGGCAAAATCCCAGGACCCTGGTATCATGACCTGAGCCAAAGGCAGATGCTCAACTGACTGAGCCACCCAGGCACTCCGAAAAGGCCGTATCTTCAAATAAAGTCACACTGGGGGTTAGGGCTTAAACATAGGAATTTGTTGGCGGTACATAGTTCATTGCATAATACCTTTCCAAAGTGGTCGCCAAATTACAATTTTAATTGTGTATCAGATATGTCTGTTTAATATAGAGACTGTCATTTGAATACAGTGTTCAGTGCTGCTGTATAAGCCTTTTAAGAAAGTATCTTCAGCTTAAAATGAGTTTAAAATTTTACATTTAGGCCTAGAAATACCTAAGGAGCAACTAAGATGTAAATCATTTTTTATTTCACAGGCACACACTGTAGCATCATAGTCTGAACTGAGTATGAGTAGTCCAAAGTGAAACTTTAAAGCAGATAGTAGTGGTAATCTGTTTCATTGTTATGAAGGGAAGAAGCTGTAACATGTTGGTGTGTGATGTCATTCTTAATCATTTCTAGATTTCAGATTTCCAGGAAAACATTCTCTCCTAAAGCTTCAGAATCCTGAAACTTGTGAAATATTTAAGAGGGAAAAAAATGTAGGGGTAAGTCTTCCATATAAAACAAATAATCCTATTAAGCACATATTTTGGTTGTATTTCCCTATCATTTTTTAAGCACTTCTGGCCATTTACAGATTTTGAATGACAGTTGATGGTAAGAAGGAGAAAAGGAGTAGTGATTCAGAAGATATTCACAAATAATATAAGAGGTTGAAAGCAGAAGGCTGGGTGGGTAGGGTGGAGAGGGGATATCCAAAACAGAAAATATAGGATGAAAAGTTCCCTGTGATATAAGAGAAAGCTAGTGATAGCAGTTTATAGGAAAAGTTTGTTGTAAATACTTTGATTCTGTCATTTCTCTTTCTGTTAATCAGAAAAGCTATGGAAAGTTTGGGTTCTAAATAAATGCATCTGAAATATGATGCATGTTATAATAGAATAACTTTTTATAAAAGCAGAGGGGGCAGGTGTATGAGAAAGTGGAGGGAATGTATAAACTTTTACACTTGATCTTAGCCAAAAGGCCAAGAAGCGATGGAATGTATAAACTTTTAAAAACATGTAAAGTAAAGCAGTAGTAACTTTGGAATATTTTACACTGAAGAAAATTGCAAAAATTTAGACAAATCATTTTAAATTTTTTTTTTGTTTCATTATTTTTGAAAATACAAATTGGTTGGAGTTTTTTTTTTTTATCAAGTCAACACACTATTTGTCTTGATACTGTTTTGGGTATATAATATTTCTGGTTCCTTCAAATACTTTCTCACTTGATTATGGTGTTTTACAATTAACATAGAAAGAGAATTTATCTAATTTTCTAGGTGTTCCAGAAGCCCCTAGGGTTGATGCTACCCCATAGATATTGCAAATTTCATTTTAATACATTACGTGGCTGTGAGCGATCACAATGCAAGTTTGCTCATGCGCCTGAGCAAGGGGATGAAAAGGTAAAATATGTAAAGTCTTTGAAGTAGAGATTGTTTTAATGATCATCTCAGTCATATGTTTTAATTCAGATTTTCTTTGACTCCTAATAGCATAGATGAGCTTTGCCTGGTTTTGTATTTTATATAAATGAAATCATACAGTCTGTATTCTTTAGTTTCTGGCTACTTTTTGCTCAATATTTTTGAGATTCATCTATATTTTTTACTTAATTATAAACATTCCTTTCTCATTGCTGTATAATATTGAATATTCCTTTGTGTATGTCAAAATTTAGTGATAAATACTACTTTTGATTCATTTTGGTGTTTTCTAAATTTGGTAATTACAATAGTGATGCTATCAGTGTTCTTCTGCATGTCTTTTGGTGAATATATGTACACTTTCTGATGGGTTATACTTAAAGCTGGACTTGCTGGGTCACAGAATCTGCATATGTTCAACTTTAGTCAACACTGCCAAACAGATTTCTGAAGTGGTCTGCCAAATTACACTCTCACCAGCAATGTCTGAGAGTTCTGGTTGCTTCACAGCCTTACCAGCTCTTGGTATTTATCGGCCTTTTAACTTTAGCCATTCTGGTGGGTGGGGAGTGATGCCTTCCCTGATGATGACTGATGAAGCTGAGCATCTTTCAAAGTCATTGGACATTTGGATACCCTCTTTTGGGAAATACCTAAATATTTTGCCTATATTCTATGGGATTGTCTTTTTCTTACCTATCTTAAGAATTCTTTATATATTCTAAGTTCTTTGTTGGATATGTGTATAGCAGGTAACTTTTACTAGTGTACAGGTTACCCTTTCACCCTCTTAAAAGTGTCTTTTGGTAAACAGAATTTCTTAATTTTTATGTAGTCCAATTTTGTCAATTTTTTATGTTAATTTTTTGCATCCTGTTGAAGAAATCTTTGCCAAGATCTTATTTTTTTTCTTTAAAAGGTCTATTTTTTAATCTTTGCATTTAGAACACTAAGTCACCTGGTATTGATTTTTGTTTATGATGTGAGAAAAAGGTCAAGATAAATATTTTTTCCCATGTGGATCTGTAAGTGACCCAAAACCCTTTACTAAAAAAAGACCATTCTTTCCCCCACTGTACTGCAGGGTCACCATGTCATATAAATCAGCTGATTAAATATGAGTGGGTCTATTTGTAGGCTCTCTGTTCTAATCCATTGGTAAATGTATTTATCCTTGCACCAGTAAATGGTTATTTTTTAAATGACCTTAGGTTTTTAAAATTTCAAATATTCAAGGATTTCCTCCCTTCCCCAATTGCTTGCTAATCTTGTCTGTTTCCTTGACTATTTCTTTGTCAGCGCATCTCTAAAATAAGGTTTCTGTAGTGAATTCAATATGCATTTCAAATCTGTGAGTTAACCTGACTTCAACTTTTTATGCCATTGCTTTAAGTTCACTTAAAAAAATAGAATAAGCAGAAAGATAGGATGGAAGTTTGTGTCTTTTTTATGAAATATAAAAAGGTAATGTTATGTTTTTCATTATTTGTAGGTTTGTATGGATGTGTTTAAGAAATATATAAGTATCAACGAACTGTGTTTGCTACAACGTGCAGGTATGAGACAATGGAATGATTACTATAAATTCATGAATGTGAGTGTTTCAAACTATTGTGTCTGATAGTTTGAAAGTAAATTCAATAGTTTTAGGTATGAAAACTGAATACTAACTTAGAGTGGCTCTGATGGTCTTAGAAAGGTTTAAAAATAAGTGTGGCATTTTGGTTACTAAAAAAATTAGAATCCACCTAACAGTATAATTCTCTTACATACTAATATTTGCATGATGTAGAAATTTTATGTATAAGTGTAAGATAGAAAAAATAATATTGTTAATTGGCTTAAAATCTTTCTGAAGGGATATTTCAGAAACTGGATCTTCCCTACTTCTTTATCTTCCATTTTAATACTTACCCTTTGAGGCCAATGCACCATCCATACTGAGTTATGTGCAGTTCCCTAACCAGGCCAGCCTCTGTTATAATATCAGAGCCACCGTTCCTGTTCTCTATCTATCTCTATCTAGCCTTTCTTCCATACCCCTACCCTATAGCAGAGACCTATTCATATCTCAAGTCTTAGTCATAGGAAATAGCAGATTGTTGATTGTTACTTCTGATCACAGAGGTGCTAAGAGATGGGCAGCTATTACTGTCGAACTTTTCTCCATTGTTTTAAGCCCTCTCCTTCCTGCTAAAGTGACTTCCAGAGGATTTAAAGGGCTAACACCCCCCCCTTTTTTTTTTACCCTCTCTTTCATTTTTCTCTTTTTCCCCTTTTGGGAGCCAGATCTTAGAGACTAGGATATTCAAAAACATCTGCATGCATATATGGGGAAAACTAAAAAGTGACTGTATGGGAAAGGCTCACAAAAGACCTGAGAAGACACTTTAGGCTGGTCCTCCCCACAGAACATAACTGCAATCAAAAAACAAAACAGTAACAAAAACAATAACAAAAAACAGCAAACCCTGGGGAAGGGAGAGAATCTGAGCTCTGTAATAACCACATTATTAGAGTAAAATGCCCACTTTTTGACAAAAAGTCACAAGGTATACAAAGAAATAGGAAAAAGAATAGCCCACTCAAAGGAAAAAATAAATCAATAGAAACTATTCCTGTAAAAGATCTAATGGCAGATAGTTGAGACAGTGACCTCAAAACAACTGTCTTAAAGGTGCTTAATGTACTAACAAAGATATAGAGAAGGTAAAGAAAATGATGGATGAACAAAATGTAAGTATCAATAAAGACAGAAAGCCTAAAAAAACTCAAAAAAATCTGGAGCTGAAAAAGTACAATATTTGAAGTGATAAATTCACTATGAGGAATCAAAGGCAGATTTAAGCAGGCAAAAAATCAGCAAACTTGAAGCTAGGACAATAGAAATGATCAAGTCTAAAGAACAAGAAAGATTGAAGAAAAGTGAACACAGCCTAGGGGACCTGTAGGACTCTGTTAAATGGATCAATATACACATTGTGGGAGTCCCAGAAGAAGAGAAAGAGAAAGGGGCAGAAAGAGTATGTGAACAAATAATGGCTGAAAACTTCCCAAATTTGATGAAAATCATGAATTTAAATGTCCAAAAATTTCAGCAAACTTCAAGTAAGATAAACTCAAAGAGACTACACCAAGACACGTTATAATCGAAGTTTCAAAAAACAAAGAAAGAATCTTGAATGCAGCAGGAGAGAAGCAAACCATCACATCCAGGGGTTCTTCAATAACATTATAAACAAATTTCTCATTAGAAACTGGAGGCCAGAAGGCAGAGGGCCAATATATGCAACATGCTTAAAGAAAATTTCTGTCAACCAGGAACCCTATATTCAGCAAAACTGCCCTTCAAAAATGAGAGGGAAATTAAGACATTTTCAGATAAACAAAAGCTAAGAGGGTTCATTTTCCCTGGACCTGCCCTGCCTGAAATGATCAAGGGAGTCCTGCATGGTGAAATGAAAAAACACAAGACAGTAACTCAAGGTCATGTGGAAAAATAAGGATCTCAATAAAGGTAAATGCATGGGCAGTTGTAAAAACTAGTATTATTGTAACAATAGTTTGTAACTGCTATTTTGTTTTCTACATGATTAAGGAGACTAATACATTTAAAGAAAACCATTATTATTAGTGTAAAAACTAGTAGTATTGCAAATTTGGTAACTCCAAATACTCTTTCCGGTATAATTTAAGAGACTTATGCATTTAAAAAAAACCAATTAATATTTTGGGACACACAGTATATAAAAAGTAATTTTGTGGCATCAACAACTGAAAAGGGTAGGGATGGAGTGTAAAAATAGCAGAGTTTTTGTATGTTACTGAAGTTAAGTTGGTATAAGTTCATATGAGAATGTTATGACTTTAGGATATTAAATGTAATCCCCATGGTAATCACAAAATAGCTATAGAATATATACAAAAAGAAATGAAAAAGGAATTTAAATGTTTAATAAAAAAGATCAACTAAATACAAAAAGACAATGGTAATGCAGGAAATAAGGAACAAAAAATCTACATGTATGCAAATAGAAAACAAATAGCAAAATGACAGAAGTAAGTCCTTCCTTATCAGTAGTTACTTTTAAAGTAAATGAGTTAAACTTTCCAATTAAAGGACAGATTAGCAGAGTAAATAAAAACACATGGTCCAACTATATGCTGTTTACAGGATATTCACCTTAGATCCAAAGACACAAATAGATTGAAAGTAAAAGAATGGGAAAAGATGTTCTATACAAATACTAACCAAAAGAGAGCAGGGGAGTGGCTATACTAATATCAGACAAAATAGACTTTAGATCAAAAGAGGTTAAAAGAGACAAAGGACATTATATAGTAATAAAAGTTGCAATATAGTAAGAAGATATAATAGTTATAAACATTTACACATGTAATGACAGACCACCAAAATACATAAAGCAAAAACTGACAATTGAAGAGAAAAATAGTTTTCCAGTAATAGTTGGAGACTTCAGTATCCAATTCTCAATAATGTATAGAACAACGAGATAAAAGAAATAGAGTACTTTGTATGGTGACTAACATAACATAATAAAAAAAGTCCCAGAAAATAAAATAAAAAAGAAATAGAGTACTTCACACAATATACCAACTAAATCTAACAGACATATACACAATATTCTACCCAATAACAGTAGCATACATATTCTTTTCATGAACACATGCGACATTTTCCAGGATAGACAATGTGTTAGGCCACAAATTAAGTCTCAACAGGTTTTAAAAGATAGATATTGCAGAGGCACCTAGGTGGCTCAGTTGCTTAAGCCTCCAACTGTTGATTTCAGCTCAGGTTTTGATTCAGGGTCGTGAGTTCAAGCCCTGAATTGGGCTCCATGCTGGACATGGAGCCTACTTTAAAAAAAAAAAAGATATTGCACAAAGTATCTTCTCTGACCACAACAGGATAAAATTAGACATCAATAACAGAAAGAAAACTGGAAAATTCACAAAACTGTGTAAGTTGAATGGGTGAATCAAAGAAGAAATCACAAGAGAAATTAGAAAGAAACAGACAAATGAAAATGAAACACAACATATCAAAACTTATGGGATTCAGTGAACGTGGTGCTAAGAGGAAAGTTTGTAGGTCTAAAGGCTTATATTAAAAAACAAGAAAGATCTCAAATCAACAACTTAACTTTACAACTTTAGAGAAAGAAAAACAAACTAAACCCAAAGCTAGCAGAAGGAAGGAAATGATAAAAATCAGAGCAGAGATAAATGGAATAGAGAATGAGAAAATCAGTGAAACTAAAAGCTGGTTCTTAAAAAAGACCAACAAGATGAACAAACCTTTAGCTAGATGGACTAAGAAAAAAAGGAGTATTCAAATTACTAAAATAAAAAATGAAAGTCAGACATTAATACAGTTCTACAGGGGGAGACGAACCATGAGAGACTATGGACTCCGAGAAAGAAACTGAGGGTTTTAGAGGGGAGGAGGGAGGGGGGATGGGTTAGCCCAGTGATGGGTATTAAGGAGGGCACGTACTGCATGGAGGACTGGGTGTTATATGAAAGCAATGAATCATGGATCTCTACATCAAAAACTAATGATGTATTGTATGGTGACTAACATAATAAAATTTAAAAAAAAGAGAATACTATGAATACAATGAATAATTGTACACAAAAGTAAATGAAATGGACAAATTCCTGAAAACATAGAACCTGCCAAGACTAAATGATGAATAGAAAATCTGAATAGAACTATAACTAGTAAGGAGAATAAGTTGGTAATCAAAAGTCTCCTGACAAAAGTCTTGCGCCCAATGGCTTCATTGTGAATTCTGCCAAACATTTAAAAAAGAATACCAGTTATTCTCAATCTTTCCCAAAAAGTTGAAGAGGAGGGAACACTTGATTATTCATTCTATGAGGCTGAGTTAGTCATTACTTTGATATCAAAGCCAGGCAAAGACACTATGAGAAAAGAAAACTACAGATCAGTATCCCTTATGAATATTGATACAGAAATCCTCAACAAAATACTAGCAAACCAAAGTCAGCAGCACACTGAGAGGATTATACATCATAACTAAGTGAGATATATTCTTGGACTTGCAAGGCTAGTTCAACATATAAAAATCAGTCGGATTAATGCACCACATTAACAGAATGAAAGAGAAAAACCATGTGATCATCTCAATTGATGTAGAAAAAGCATGTGATAAAATTCAACATTCTTTCATGATAAGAACACTCAAAAAAACTAGGAATAAGAGGAAACTAAAAGCCATACAAGTTTCTCCCACTATCTGAAAGTAGAGTGCTCCTATGAAAACTTCCATAAGCCAAAATGGCATAAAGTGGAGAAACAGTTACCATTTTGCAAAAGTGAAAATCCTCTTCAGATTTCTTTAAGTAAGTGAAAATAGGTACAGTTCTACCTCAGAGATATTGTGAGTTCTGGTCCAGACCATTGCAGTAAAATATAGCACAAGAGCGAGTCAAGTGAATTTTTTGTTTCCTAGTGCATATACAAGTTATATTTATCATTCATCATCAGGGAGATACAAATCAAAAC